GGTGACTCAAGAGTTTAGCTCCAGGCAGAATGAAATCCCTGTGTTGGGGAGGTGGGGGTCAGCCTCCAGCCTGGCCTGGCCCCTGGCTTTGCAGAGTAGCCTGGTGTGGGCGGAAGTGTGGCTATGAGGAAGAATGAGGTGCATGGCCCTGGCTGGCAAGGCTCCCAGCCAGTGGAGGTGTCACAAGCATCTGCTGTTGGGGGCCCCGTGCTTGGTGCTGGTGTGAAGAGCTGGAATCGTCAGGCCTCTGCAGTGGCAAGGTTCACCCCCACTTTGCAGGGCTTGGCACTTGGGAAGATACAGAGGCCTGGGACTCCCGGGTGGTGTGGTTTCTGCCTTCTTCAGAAGTGTCTGTCACCCCGCCTGGAGGTGCTGTGACCCACAGCCTGCGTGTGAGGCAGGGGGGTGGGAAGAACTTGGGGCTTGACCCTGTGGCCCACAGAGGCTGTCAGATTTTGACAACCCAGACACGGCCCGGCCTTCACCTGGGGAGCTCTGGCCACTCACACACACCTCCAGAGGCGGATGAGTGTAAGTGGTGACCTCATAGAGGTTGCAGCTATCTAGGCAGAAATGACAAGTGTGTGGATGGATTTGGGGTCAGTGAAGCAGAGTTCAGACCTGTAGGGGATTTCAGGGATGGCAGAGTTAATGAATCTGTGAGAGTCGGGGAGACGAGCTGTGTTCACAGCCAGGGGTCTGTCCTGTTCACCTGGGAAGGAGCACATGAGTGAACGGGAATTTGAGGACAAGGTGAGAAAACATGTTGGGCCCTGAGTGCTGGTGGCCTGGGATGCCAGCCACAGCACACGGGGGCACCCCATTCTGCAGGAGCCACTGCAGAGGAGGGACTAGAGGGCTTGGGCCACCAGGTGAGGACGACAGCTTCCAGGAAGCATCTGGCAAACCCTATGGTGGGAGGGGTGACTACTGAGGCCCACACGGGGTGAGCTGAGGTACTACAAGGCTGGGCCCAGTGGGAAACGTGGGGCTTTGAGGACATATCCTTAAGCGGCAAGCAGGTGCAACTGTCACCAGGGACTCCATGTGGGCACGTGGCCCAGGAGGGGTGCAAAGCTGAGGGAGAAGTTTGGGTCAGCAAACCTGTAGGAAAATAGCATGAGAGGGTTCCATGTGACAGCTGGGGACAAGGGCAGTGAGCCCTCCAGACCCTTTGGAAGGACCAGGTGAGATGGGTTGAGTGCACCAGTGGGGGAAGGTGGGTTTCCAGTTCCCATGTAGAGGTCATCCGCTCCCCTGAGCTGTAAGGAGGATAAGGAGGATGTCATGACTCAGGATCCCAGGTCGGGATCGGAGGGAGGGCCAGGGCTGAGACTGGAGGAGATGGACCCTAGACCCACCCTGCTGGTGCCCTTCTGGTCGGGTACTATAGATACAGGTATCTCATACTTATTTCTTTTTGTTTTTTCTTTCTTTTTTTTTGAGAAGGAGTCACCCTCTGTTGCCCAGGCTGGAGTGCAGTGATATGATCTCGGCTCACAGAAGCCTCCATCTCCTGGATTCAAGCCATTCTCTTGCCTCAGTCTCCTTAGCAGCTGGGATTACAGGTGCACGCCACCATGCCCGGCTAATTTTTGTATTTTTAGTAGAGACGGGGTTTCTCCATGTTGGCCAGGCTGGTCTCAAACTCCTAACCTCAGGTGATCTGCCTGCCTCAGCCTCCCAAAGTGCTGGGATTACAGGCATGAGCCACCATGCATAGGCCTTCCTTCCAAAACAACGCAAATTTACTGCCCAAAGGCTTAACAGTACAGATAAATAGAAGTAAATAGCTGGGCACGGTGGCCCATGCCTAAAATCCCAGCACTTTGGGAGGCTGAGGCAGGCAGACTGCTTGGAGACCAGCCTGGGTAGCATGACAAAACCCCTGTGTCTACAAAAAAAAAAAAAATACAAAAATTAACCAGGTGTGGTGGTGTGTACCTGTGGTCCCAGCTACTCAGAAGGCTGAGGTGGAAGAATCCCTTGAGCCCAGGAGGCAGAGGCTATGGTGAGCCAAGATCACGCCACTGCATTCCAGCCTGGGTGACAAGAGTGAGACCTTGTCTCAAAAAAGAAGAAAATACCCCTCACCCCACAGCTCGATCCTCAGACTCAGACACTGATCTGTGGGGTGTGTCACCTGGACCTGTGGGACATTTTCCTGACAGGGAGACTTGAGTGGATGGTGATGTGGGCAGTGGCCCCTGCGGGGTCTGCAGCATCCCAGGATATACCTAGAGGCCATGCCCTGTACCAGCCTCAGCAGCACGGATGTGTTGAGGCGCAAAGGGCTGGAGGGCAAGTGTGGAGAGGCGAGCATGTCCACTCAGACTCAGGGTCCCGCCCTCGGTGCCCTCATCCACTGGATGCTCCCACCTGCCCTCCCAATGCTGAGCAACCAGAGGAAGCCCACAGCCAGCAAAAAGGCTTTCCTCTCAGGCTGGGTCTCCAGGATCCTGCTTGTGTGCTGCAAATCAAAGGTTTGGCTTGTACACTCGACTGTGCTCATCTTGGGGTTTTCCTGACCACAGGTCCACGGGCAACAGAGGAAGTGATGCCTGGAGCCTCTCCTGGGCTGATCCCTAGTCAGGCTGTGTCCGGGATGAGGAGCAGATGGAAGGAGTTGGGGAGGAAAGTGAAGCCATGGGATTTTATTTTTTGAAAAGGGTCTTACTATGTCACCCCGGCTGGAGTGCAGTGGCATGATCCTAGCTCACTGCACTCTCAAACTCCTGGGGTCAAGTGATCCTCCCACCCCTGCTTCCTGAGTCACTACAGCTATAGGTGTGCAGCACCCCACCCAGCTAACTTTTAAAAATCTTTCATGGAGACAGGGTCTCCCTGTGCTGCCCAGGCTAATCTCAAACTCCTGGCCTTAGCGATCTTCCTGCCTCAGCCTCCGAAGTGCTGGAATTCCAGGTCTGAGGCACCGCGCCTGAGTTCCATGTGCTTTCTGCACACACTTGGGCGGCAGGTGGGAGACCCCGGATTCGGAACTTGGGGGTGATGCCGGCCTTCTCCTGCCCTGAGGATCAAGCAGTGCCTGCGGGCACAGCCTGGTGAGCCCTATCCTGTGCCACCCACTGCAGGTGGACAGCAGTGGGGAGGGGAGAGGTCAGGGGTGGGAGGGCCCCCACAGATGTGTCTCTCTTAGTGAGCCCTGCCCAGGGTGGGCTGTGTGGGTGTTGGGCCAAGTGTTTCCCTACCATGAGCTGGCTGCCGTCTAGGCCAAGCAGTGCAAGGTAGATCCGCTGGGTACCAGGCACAGTGGTGTCCCAGGGCACAGTCGCCCCACTCCCGGCCTGGTTCGTGCCTCCTGTGGGAAAGTAGAGCAAATGGCCCAGAGCAGGATGTGGTCAGACCTGGAGGCTGAGTGCTGTGGGTGCCACAGTCCTTCCCATCTCTGACCCCTCCTTCTCCACCTAGCAGTGGTTCAGGCCCACTGGGGAACACGTGCTGGTGGTGCGCCTGCCGCTGAAGCACCTGCTTGCCTTTGCCAACAGCCTGAAGCCAGAGCAGGCCTCGCTCTCCTCCCACTCCCATGCCACCAGCCCCCTGGAGGAGTTGAAATGGTGGCTGGCCCTTGCGGCTTCCCTCAGCTGCCGTCTCCTCCTCTTACCCTCCTCAGGTGTCGCCCACAGCAACCTCACCCCAGGGCATGGTGGGGGGCAGGGTGAGGAGGAATCCCTTCCTGCCCACAGAGCAGAGAGGCCTCTGGAGGGCTAGGAAGGTGCTTTTTCACCCTGCCCAGATGACCTGGTGGGGCTGCCAGCTGATCTCTAGCTCCCAGAGCCTCTCTCCAGACTGGCCAGGGAGTCCCCACTGTGCTGCCATCTCTTGCTCCTCCCCACCTGTCTGGAGAAGGGCTGGGGTGACCCTGACTCCCAGCCCCACCAGGGCCAGCAGAGTGGGCTATTTGTGTGGGACTGAGGTGAGGTGTGTGCAGGAGCTGCACTGGCTTGGCCGCCTGCATGCTGTGTGTTCTTGGGATGTTCCCCGACCTCTCTGAACCTTGGTTTCTTCCTCTGAGGAGTGAAGCTTAGGCCAGCTCTGAGCATACCTCAGAGATGCATGCTCTCCCCCAGCAGATCCAACCCTCGTTGATGAGTTCTGGACTCATCGATGAGCAGGGCCTCCTTACTGGGCAAGCAGCAGGTGACCCACCCTATTCCCTGCAGGGACGAATGCCGTCCCGAGGTTCGTCCAGCAGAAACGCTACCTCTTCCTGCAGCATTGCTTTGGCCACTGGGCGCGTTGTTCAGAGCTGTACTGGCCCTGTCAAACGGGTGCCTGTGTCCTCTGTGTACCCTAATGAGGGAGGTCCCCTGGAGTGGATGAGGAGGAGAACAAGTGTTGTTATGAGGCCTTGGAGAGGAGGGGATCCTTGGAGAAGAGGGAGCTCTTGGAGGGCCACATGGTTCTGTTTCAGTTTCCAAAGCCAACCCTCAGGTATAGGAAAGCCCTGCCCTGTCCCACCTCTCTGGTGCCAGGCAAGTTCGTAGCCCTTACCCCACCAGGGAGCATTGGGCCCCCTGGGCTGGGAAAGCCCACCCGCGGCCCTGGCTTCTGAAGAGCCGGCAAGAGAGCCACACCTCACAGGGCTGAGTCTCTCCTGCGCCCTCTGGGGGACGTGGGAAGAGCCAGTCCCACCCAGCTGCCGCCTGGGACCAGACTCCGGGCCAACGGAGGATTTGGCCCCCAGCCACTGGGCCCTCAGCTCACGCCTCCCACAGGTCCTGGAAATGTGACTGAGCTACCTGCAGCCATGGCGGTATGCGCCTGACAAGCAGGCTCCAGGTAGCGACTCCCAGTCCCAGTGTGTGTTGGAGAAATGGTGAGCCTCGGCCCCTCTCCTCACAGCCATGCCACTGGCTCCCCAGCATGGACATTGCTCCAGTGGTTGGAGACCAAGTCAGCGGCCTGTGCTGGGGTCAGCCTGGCCCTGGCCCAGGTGGCCTCCTGGGTTCCTCTCCCAGGCCCTGCTTTGTGGAGCACAGACCAGCCCTTCCTAGACTCAACTTTGCCAGACCCTAGAATTGGTTTCTCATGGAAGCAGTGGGTGACCTATCTGGCCCTGTCTCCTCTCCCTTCTGGCCCAGACATATGTTCGGTGACCCCCAAACTATCCGTTGACCCTCACCAGCACAGAGCAGAGCAGGGGCTGCCTTCCCCTCATCCCCTGCTTGATCCTCATGTCCATCTCAGACCAGTGTGTAGACAGCCCCTTGGCTACTCCTTCCTGTCATGGCCGGGCTTTGGCCCCACGACACCAACGGCTCCTACCCAGCCAACGACCTGGACAAGACAGGGCAGGACAGTGTCCAGAGACAGACAAGTACCTGGAGGCGGCCCTGGAGTACCTGCGCCAGATATTCCTGGTACGAACTATGGAGCCTGCCTCAGGCCATCAGGATCTCCTTCCTCAAAGGATCCACTCCCCCTCAGCCTGTGGTCAGCCCAAGCACCAGTCCCGGGCCCCACTCAGATGGAGCCAGTGTTGTGGGAGGTAGGCCCACACCCTGAGCGTCATGTCTCACTGTTAAGTGGCTGGTGGGGTGACGACCAGTCCCCACCCTTCTCCTTGGTGCTTCTTTCTGGCAACTCAGTGGAGCACAGCTCACACAGTTCACTTGCCTTGGGCACCACCCAGGATGGGAACAGAAAGCAGCAGCTCCTTGACTGCATCGGGGGTGAGGACAGACTCACCCTCATGTTTCCGGGTTGGTACCAGGTGAGAAGCCCCTGTCCCAGAGGTGCAGGTTGGGCCCTTAACTGTCCCCAGCTCCTTCCTCCCCTATGAGCAGATGCAGCTCCGCTGCTCTGAGTTGTGTCCGGGCTGTGTCTTCTGACCGGTCCCTGTGGCCTGAGTTTCTAGATCATCAATGCGCTGCAAAGGTTTGACATTGAGTACCAGGGGGACCCAGAGCTGCAGCCCATCTGGAGCTACAACATTGCCATCTTGGTCTGTGTGCTCTTCCAGTGGTCGTCTGCCATCAACCACAGAGAATGGGCAGGAGGGACAACCTGGCCTCTTCAGAAAGTGTTCTCAATGCTCCTGCCCAAGGTGGCCTGTGGGGGTGGGGTGCTGCTGTCCTGAGGTCTGTGGTGCCACCACCCCATGCCCTCCTGCCTCTGTCTGTGCATCACTTTGCAGGCCAGATTGCGGTCAACTCTGTGTTCCTGGGACGACTTCCTTGGCAGCTTCTGTCTCTTATCGTTTCACTAGCCTGCGGTGGCCAGCAGGTACCTGCTAAGCCTCATGGGCAGAAGCAGGCAGCTGGCCACACCCATGGCCCCAGGCTCAGCCTCAGTAGCTACCAGATTCTGTTTTGGCTGCTGCTGGCCTTCTTTGAGGCGTCTCTGTTCTGAGTTGGCCATCCCTGGCACTGCTGCTTGCCCTGGGCTATGTCCTCTCTGCCTCTAACTGAGTGGGGAAGCTGCAGCAGCCCTGACGATGTCAGCTGCTGTCTTCAGAGAAGGCTGGGGGCATTTGCTACACAGCTCCACCCTTGGGCTTGGGAGATGATGGGTGCACACCCCCCAAAGACCCTGTGCCCGCACCTGCAAAAGTCCACCACACTTCCGTACCGTGTGCTCATCTGCCAGCTGTGAAATGTCAACATCTTGCAGGCCCAAGAGGTGAGGCCCTGGATGGTGGGGGTGGGCCTGGGCAGCCTGGCGCTGCCGCGGGTCCCACCATGCTGACGTCCCTGTCTTTTGGCTGCGTACCTCAAGTCCCTCCTGGAAAAGGGCCAGAAGCCCCGGTGGCCCCAGAGGAGGCTGGGTCTAGCTCTCCCAGGTGAGTGTCTGGTCACCCCTGCCCCATCCCTGGGGCCTGTTTGGGGCTCACTGCTATTCCTACACCCAGGGACCAGGAAGCTGTGCAGTTCCCCAAGGTCTCCACCCCCACCAAGAGCCTCTTCAAAAAGGTGACCCCTGCATGGCAACAGCAGGCAGCCCTATAGCCCTGGGTCCCAGGGAGGAGGGGAAGGAGGGGCGGCAGCACAGAAACAGAGCGCTGTGGTCTCAACTGGTCCCAGTGAGGGCATGGGCAGGCCCTACTCCCAGCACCACCCCACTTCCCCTGGGAGCTCAAGTGACCAGTCCCTCCACCCATTTCCCACCTGCTTCTGAGCCCCACACCTGTGACAGTACGTGTCCCTCGCTGCCCCGAAATGAAGCAGGACCCTGACATAATAAACTTGCCAAGGCGGAGAGCTGCAGGCCCATCTGCAGAACTCACGTGCCGCGCTTGGTGCTTGAGCCCGCCCTGCATCTGGCTGCAGCTGTCAGGAGGGCCAAGCCACTACTGCAACCGGAGACTGGCCTCCATAGCATTCCTATTAACCACTCACATTCAACCCAGCAAACCCAAGAAAATGACACTCCAATATAGAAGAAGTACTGAATCATCCAAACTGACAAACTGTTTGTGTTCTAGTATTCCCTATTTGTATTTACACAAAGCACACGACGAAGTAGAGAGAGCGCGCTAACCTTGCCGGCCTGGCTCCCACCTGTAATCCAGCACTTTGGAGGCAGAGGCGGGCAGAATCACAGTCAGGAGCATGAGCACCCCATCTCTGCAACTAACATTGCAAACCCGTCCTACCTAAAAAAAAAAAAAATAACCAAAAATTAGCCGGTGAGGGGCGGGCGCCTGTGTCCCAGCACTCCGGAGCTGACACCAGGAGAGGTGTAACCTGGGAGGCGGAGCGCTGCAGTGACGGCTCAAACGAGCGCCACGGCACCGAGCCTGAACACAGCGAGATACTGTCAAAGGCAAAAAAAAAAAAAAAAAAGAAGTATTGCCCTAACCTTTTGAAGACTGAAAAAAATCGCTCTTTCGTCCCAGTCCATGCCTTGATTCCTCAACCTGCATCAGGTGTTTCTTCATAGCCCCTGCTCGCTCAGACCTTTCCCTGGGGCCGCCAATGGAGTCTTGCCTTCCTGCGGACCTGCCAACTGCCCTGGAAACCAGCATAGGCCAGAGCCCACACAACCGCCTGGAAAGCAGGAGGGTTTTCCGTCCCCAGCTGGCCCCTGGAGCGCCTTCCACACACAGATCACTCTGGTCCTCGCCCAGACCCTGTAGTCCCTGGGGCAAGACGCTGTCGCCCTTCCCCCCTTGACAAATATCCTGACAGGCCCAGAAGGCTGTCCCAGATGCGTGGCCACACCTGCGCCACCCCTCCCACCCAGCACAAGCTGCTGTCCCACCTTCCTGGAAGTGGCCAGCTCAGGCCACCCTCGTGCCCGCAGCAACAGTTCCCAGGCCCGACACCCCATTTTCCCCTGCATTAATCCAGCCTCTTCCGCTTCCAAAAAGGTGGGTGGAACTTTGCCCAGGAAGCCTGAGGATGAACCACAAGCCAAGTAAGGGACAGTAGTCCAGAAAAGGGAGGCTGAGGTCAGGCTGGCCCCAAGGCTGACAGCATCCTGACAGGGACAAGCAGCCGCAAGTTCATGGAGAAGGGCACGAGCCGACAACTCTGATGCACACCAGGAATCATCATTTTCATAACAATCACAACAATGATGAGTATACACATGAAAATAGGGACCAGTCCTTATCACCAGAGGGCCTGCAGCCAATTGCCCAGAGTGGCGGCAGCACAGGAGCCACTCACTGCATGGCCCCCCCAGCTGCAGGTCCGCCTTCTCCAATGGGTGGTGCCAGCTGCATGTAATTCGAGACGCAGGTCCTGAGGTTTTCTCTTCACCTCACCGGTGTGAGGACACGGTCCTCATGGCGAGCCCGGCAAGGTGCCGCAGCAGGATCCCTGAGCCCCTTGTGGATCCTGCTTAGCACAGGTGCACCCCACAGTGCCAGCAGGAATGCCGCAGAGGGCCTGAGGCCCCAGCTGGGCTCGGGGAACCGGCAGCCCCCACAAGCGGGGCACAGCCCTCCCCTAGGAGCCAGCCCGTTCCTGATTGGGCTGGCGGAGGGCCCCACTTCCCATAGCAGCTCAGCCGAACCCAACAAACCGGTGACCAGAGAAGCGAGCGTGTTTTAAAGGTTCCCTGATGTCCTGTGTTCTCCTATAGAATGAGTAACAGGATGGGTTGAGCACACACAAGACACTCTAACAACACTGGTGCGGCCCTCA